AAAAAAAAACAAACAAAAATACAAAAATATTTAGCTTTAAGAGGGTTAGGCCTACTCTAAAATTAAGGAACGCTCGACCTCGACACGTGATATCGAAATGGGCGAAATCGCCTCTTGATATCACTAACTCTCCTGACTCCTGACTCCTGAGAAAAAAAGATTATCCCCTTGCTCGCAGTCCGATGTCGAAAAACTTCCCGCTCAGCACTTAAATAATAATTTTTTAAATATATCTTATTCGATTGCAAAGAGCCGCCTTCATTCGAAGCCGGCCGTCAAATTCCCCAATTGACATTTCTTTTTCGCGAGTGGTTTGTGTCGTCGATGGAAGTGAGGTCGCCGAGCATGGGAAGTCTTTCATTTTTCCATCGTGGCACTTTCCTAGGCCAAACATTCCATACTGATGCTTACTCGATCGATTTGCCTTTTGTCTGTCGGCAACACCTCTTGATTTGTTGTAATTCGCAGATCACCGATGACCAGACGATGGAGCGGCGGCTCAGACCCGTGGTCGACGTAGGCGACAATTTTTCGATGGGAGCGCGAATCGGGATCGCTTGCGGAGTCTTGGCTCTCTCCTTCCTCATTTCCATCGCTTGCTGGTGTTGCAAGCAAAGGAGGCGCGAGAGGCGACAGGCGGCAGTTCAGAGGCAGTGAGAAAATTCTTCGCCGCCTTCCTTCGATGTCCTGTATATTTGTATCGAGGCATGTACGGGGCAAAACATAATCCAATATTTCTATATTTCTGTAATGATTTTATGATTCTTCCTGGGATTTCCTGTCATTTATCTGCTGCGAATAATAAAATGCAGTCACGAACTCGATGACATTGCGGATATTCCCTTGGTAGATATACTGTTTATTGCTTTTATCTAGACATAAGCCTTCCACACTATTCGAAAGCCCCCCCCCCCCCCCACTCTCTCACTTTTCAACCCATGTCCGGCAGACCGAAAGGACAGATGGCTGAGCATTGGCTGATTGGCTGGAAAACATTTCAGAGGCATCTCGGCGAGTAAAAGTGTCTGTAGGACCAACTCTACTAGCTGATATTAGGGGTGCCACTCGTCCGAATAATCAAACTCTTTTTTTTTTCCAAGTCCATACGAGTCCGATTTTAATTGAGGAAGAATTTTTAGTTGGTTAATCAGAGAGATGTGAGGAGAGTTCCTCATCATGACCGTTTGTATCGCTTCTGGGCAGTCACTCAAATAGACGTTGTATAGTCTGCCTTTGAATGTGTAGGGCATTCGACCTAAGAGTGACTGATCGACTCAGTGTGTGACCTGATGGTTCTTGCATTTCAAGCGCCGAAGAAAGACCCTTCACATTTCTTGCGTTCTACATTGCTTCCACCTTCAATTAAAAGTTTAAAATTGAGATTTTGGCAGGCCTTGACGATCTGATTTCCGAACTTTTAACGCGAAAAATCTCCACGCATTTTTCCGTTCTCTCCGATCGCGCAGAGGCGCGGAGCAGGACGAGGTTTTGCCGTAACTGAAGAATGGGAAGTTAAACGCACATGGCATTTTAAGAACACGTTTGAAAGAAATCTCCCCCCAAAATGGTTGCCCCCAGGGCATGCACCTCCAAACTAGGCTTTTTTTTTCTGAACTCTACATCTCAATAGCTACTTGTATACTAAGTTTCAGATTTCTCTAGAACACGGTCCGAATTAGCATCAATGTCTCAGTCAGTCACGATCGTCTAAACATATTAGACATAAAGACGATCGTGACTGAGTGACGCTCTTTCCAACCATGTTGTAGATATGAAGGGAATTAGAAACATGGACCACAAGTAATCACTGAATTCCTGAGTTCAGAAAGTATTTCCTTTCTTTCTATATTTCCTCAAAAAAGATATTCTGGAAATACTTTCCCCTCCCCAAAACCCCCGATTTATTTGGAGGGTGGAGGGGAGGAGAAGAATTTTCTCCGCAGTAAAATTGGCAAATAAAGAAGAGTACTTCCATGGCACGGTTCTTTGAGAAAAAGGAAGACGTACCCGCCAGAATTCGAAATGAGGCGCAGGCCAGCTTGAAGATAATGTTGGTGTCTGTCTTCGCCTTGTTGTTCGGCAATTTAAAATGTCGGTTGAAAGTCAGACTTCAATCCAGGGATACTCCAAAGTACCAAAGGGGTCATGGATGGTCCCTATTGAGGCCTGAGGCCCTATTGAGTCGTTCCAAGACTTCCTTCCCTTCTGAAAAAACCTCAATTCAAACTCATGAGATCTCACGACTTTCTCATGAGGTTGTCCGAATATCTCATGAGGAAATCCTCATGAGGTACTTAACGGGGTCTCACGACCTTCTTATGATAATTGCGCGGTTCCTCATGAGGCTCCGAAACGTCCTCATGAGACCTCATGAGACCGCTTGTTCGAAAACCTCATGAGAATCTTATAAGGTTTCTGCTGCAGTACACAACCGACGCGAGATGGCGACTGTATAGCCGCTCTGATGGGATGAATGCCCTAATCTCACTGAAACATCTCTCCTGTACTCACCAAATTCTTGGCATTTTTATTTCTACATTGAACATAATCAAAGATATTTGATTTCCTAAAAACACTTGTCCGAAGAGATAGCCCAGTTTAGGGAGACTTCAGACAATTCTGGTTTTCAAGATGGAATGATGTATTGAGGATGGAATAAATGACAGTTGTTAAACTGTAAATATTGCTTCGTATATGATTGCTCCTCGTTTAAGGACTCGTGGAACCATCCAAACTGAGTCCCAATAGACTTTTCGTGGCTATTGGGCCACGAGGCAAACGGCGCCTCTATGCGAAAACCCCATGAAGTCAACCTCATGAGACATCTGTTTCAAATCTCATGAGGTCATTCTCATGAGACCTCTGTCCAAAAACCTCATGAGAATCTCATGAGGTTTCCTTTTGAGATTCTCATGAGGTTTTTTCAGCAAGGTTCTATCATGCATATGGATCCAATGCTTCAGTTTAGGTTAATGGCAGTAAGGACAATTGGGGATAGGTCTTAGCGGAATACCGACAATTCATGTGCGAGGTGATTCATAGTCGGTTTAGAGCGGGTCTGTGTTGCGCATTGGCGGAATAATGGAACAAGTACCGCAGCTCATTGCAACAGCCACACTGAACACGGAAGCATGCCCTACCATGACCCACCAACACCTCTACCATGCACCTCGTGGTCGCCCTTGGGCTGCATTAGCCTATGTTTGCATTCGAACGTTCACTCGGAGTTCGTTTGACTTGATGCCTTGGAACTGCTATAAAATAGATCGACTGCGATGATGCAAGGGCGGCGTAACGTTATCGCCTTCGCTGGCCCAGAAATGTCAGCATAGCCTGGAACTTGAGGCCCACTCAAGAAATTGGGGACTCGCACCCATGGAATATATATTTCCGACCTAACGTTATCACGCCTACGAAACTCCCCAGTGAATTATCCGGCCTCCAGTACCATAAATGCCTTGCTTCGTGCTCACGACAGCATGAAAACTGGGAAAGGAAATGATGAAAATCCCATCGTAGCGAATGGAGAAGAGCCGCCACGATCCACATTCTATCGTGCGCTATCTCCAGTTCTTTCCATATCCCACGCCATGCTTGCTTCCTTCAAGTCACAAGTGCTGCCATGACTCATTTTGTGACGTCATTCGTCTGCGGCCAATCAGACGAGGGCTCTGCTGTGTCATCGTATGATTTCGAAATCAGCAAACGGGATGAGAGATAAAGTGACGTTCCCTTGTTCATGAACCTGTGAGATGCCTTCTGCCATGTCGAGGCTGAGCAATTGTGTCCCAGGAATGCGTAAAGGAGTCATCCAGACTTCGCATTTTCACCTCATCGAAATTTATATTTTCAAGATATATGTTCGAGGTAGAAACGGGAAGGCTATGCACGGACATCTTGACATCTGTGCATATAATCAGAGTCAATTTAACTTCTTACAGATGCATCTAAGAATAATAACAAGTACAACAACTCCAACGCCGACACCGATAGCCCATGTGGGCGTTTCCTCATCGGTGGACCCATAGCCGCTGGGCGGTTTCGGCGGTTTGGGTCGTCGCCTTTGCTCCTTTGATTCTTCTTGGGACAACTCAGCACTCTGTGAATGAGAATCATTTGTCATTAATGACGTGATGCAGCTAAAATCCTAAAAATATTTTATTTCCATGTATAGAGAACGTGTAAAATTTGAGCAGCAAATATAGGAAAGCGAAAGTAAATGACTGGCTTGACAATGGGTCAGAGCAAAAAGAAAAACGCACTAAATTTAACTTTTAAATCTGCATTGCATTCACATCGGTTATTCGCTATCTCAAATCCTGATATGGTTTTGGAGCGAAGCGCTGAGAGCTTTGTTTGGGGGAGGGACATTCCATCTGCTAACACAATGTTGAGTTCCAATAAGGTAACTGAATGATATCAAAAGTTCCATTTAAAAAATAAATTTTTTCAAAGTCGGGAATGGCAAGAATAAACCAAAACAGGCTCAGCATTTTCTCACACATAACTCAATTCTGTTAACATCTCGGCAAATGAAACCTTGACATATTATCATTGATAACTTCAGGGTTTGTCTGCACATGACAAAATCTGTTGAAAAAAGGGTACGCTATAAATTTCATGAACGACTTAAGGTTTCACTAACCTCTTCGGTCCAGAAAACAGGAACTTCCATTTCAGGTAAGTTGGCAAATGCCTTGTAGCCATCGACCTGTCGTACCTTAATGTTGGTTTGCAGTCGCTTCTTGACTCGGAGAAGGGTACCATTCACCTGAAACACGTTGTGGAATACATGAGGCAGTGGTAAACAGCTGATTTTTATTGTCCATTTCGAAATTGATAACGGAACGGGGAAGTTTGGATTCGGACCGGCTCGACGTCGAGGAAGGTCTCGTGCGAATCCTTCATGGGTGCAATTCCATCCAATAGGGATTTGTTTAATCCGTTGTCTCCTGCTCCATCCGGAATCAAGAAATGAGGTGAGGACATAACAATGGGTTTGCCTGCGAATGAAAAAAATATTCCTCCCGTGTGTGCATGGGCATAAGTTAGGTGTAGGGGCATCATCAGCAAATGAAGAGAGCGATTACCATCGAAGCACTTAGAGACGTCGAGAAGTCCAGCTCCGAGGCACTTGCCGACGCAGAAACATTCATTTTCTGGTCGAACCTTCACGGACGCAACAGAGTCAGGGTGGAGAACGAAGCGATATCCGAGAATAACCCCGAATTCCACGTCCTTCTCGTACCTGAAACTCATGGACCTGCAGGAAAAAAGAAAACAGCGATTGCTGCAGCATGTCTGATTCCATGAGGAATGTGAATCATGCTCTGCTTTTTGGAAGACATGAAATTGATCCCTGATAGGGAATTCTTCTTGTGGGATAATTAAGGATCACACGCGTCCGGTAGCTTCACATCTCGAATTCATTTTAATAGTCCTTGTCTGACCTTGCCTTTTTGTTTGCTGAACCCCTCAAGCCAAAGTTTCTCAGCCCGGAAGAACTACGCAAGTGCTACCGATGTATTCGGCATGAGATTGGATCAACATCCTAATTTGATACCTGTTGCTCAATGACTCCCGGCGAAATATTCCCGTGAAAATGATTCTCAGGCTTGCCAGCCATACTACTAACTCGCCTGGTCCAACCCTCCTAGCGACACGATGCGAAAACAACGATGTGGTCGAATTTCGCATCTCACGAATCCAGTCTGTTGGGATTTCGCCTTGTACAGATAAAGAGACATGGATACGTTTTGAATCACGCGTATCCCATTAAGCAGTCGCTCAGCTGACTTCACTGACGACATTTCCTGCTTGCTTTCTGACCTCATTCGTAAGCGAATCGTCTCCATGATCGATTCCATAGATAACTTTGTGGAACGTTCATCTCGCAGAACTGGATTTCCTTAACCTCCATATTAATGAATGTTTTCTTTCAGCCTCACATTTAAAATCTTTCCTTATTTACCCCCTTCGGATCTCCTTGCACTCGAGACGACTAGACTAAACTTGACGGTGGCATGAGACCATATACGCGGAACGAGGAGAGAAAGAAAACCTGCTTCAAAGAAAATCTTTATTGCCCTTCCTGAAGTCAACGGTTGGCCTTTTTCACTCATCCATCCCCAACCGATCCTAGGGGGGGGGGAAGGGCATTGCTCAAAAAGCGCCAGATTGACTTTTAAGAGGAACATTTGCGAGGAGAAAACCCCTCCGCACCGCACCATCTGTGTTAGTGGTAGTCTTTGACGTTTGCCCAAGCCCCTAACCGAGATATGATCTACCGAAGGATGGGTTCGGTAGAGAATCAATGAAAATCCGAGCAACATCGAGGAATGTCTTTCACCATTGGCAAAGTTAGACCGATTGATCGACTGATTAAAATATGCAAATTAATATATCCACGGCAAAATAACTATCGGATTGCGACCTGCATAAGTCGGTTACGAAAGTTTGGAGTATGGTCTCCTTATGGATGAGAGGAGGGAATAAAGTGCCGTCAGTGCCATTGATGGCATTGCATTCCTCTGAACTCCAAGGCTTCATGTAATGCTTAGATTCTCCATGCCAGAGATGAATCCTTCCAAAATCGTAGGGATCCTCTTTTCCTGTTCCGATTAGATATGGTCCGTCCACAGTCCCATTCCGCACTGCATCCTTTTGAAGAAAGAAAAGCAAGGTAGAAAATTACATTTCATGTGCATTCAATCCCAGACATACTCTACAGGGTGTCCATGAAGTAATGAAGCAAATTTAAAAATAAGTAACTTTTAAACAGCTTCTCGTGAAACAAAGTAACCAAAGCTGGAAAATAGAGAAACTCTGGACGCTGTTTTTTGAGCGCAAAAATGTAAACCTTGAATACCTCCGCACCATCTGGAAACAAATGTGTAAATTTCTCAAGAAAACGTACACTCAGGTAAACAATGGCGACCTTGCAAAGCAGGAGCCTCATTGTTTGCTAAGGCTTGACAATTTTTACTCGGCCACACAAATGCAACGCGAGCTCTCGCGAGTTTACAGGGAAGAACCACTTACATACGATGTCATCACAATTTGAGGAAACTGGCCACGTCCACAAAGGAAACGAACGATAACTCACGCTGTATATGTGAAGCTGGGTGAGAATTCTGCTTTGCAAGATAGTTATTGTTTACGCTGAGCTTACGCTTTTTCGATAAAAAAAAACTTTTATGTTTACACATGTTGAGATGTTCAAAGTGTACATTTTAGTGCTCAGAAAATGACGTCCAGAGTTTCTTCATATTTCAGCTTTTCTTACTTTGTTTCACAAGAAGCAATTTTAAAATGTAATAATTTAAAAAATCGTTCCATTCTTTTATGGACACCCTGTATTTTGGATCAACCACGGGAATTAACTCACTCTGTAGAACGCGAAACGGAAATCCCTCGCATCCCGCGGTAATACTTCCCGCCACAAGGCTTCAATCTCATCCGGCGTCCATCCCAGTTCTCTGAAGATTGTATTCAAGTGATCGAAGAACGGCAGATTGAAGCCTTTGAAGAGTAGCTCCTCCACCGTCTTCGTCACAAAGGCTTTCCCCTCTGGATATGATTCCACGATCATCGCCGTCATATTCAAGAAGTTACTTAGCTTTGGATGCTGGACCATCCTAGCAACAATGTCCTATGGAAGAAGTGCCAATTCATCAACAGAGCCAAGTTAGAAATGAGTTTCAGAGAAGCATATGCTGCTGTACGATGAGGTTGCCCAAATCCATTGAGTAACACCTAGATATTCGTCATGGTGTCGACGGCAAGAAGACTCATAATCCTTAATCTGTCATTTCTCACTGAATCGATCAAGAGTATTTATCCACAAAGAAAAAGCAAGAGCACATGAATCTTTCAGTTTAAAACGATGAAATGATAAATAAAACCGTCCGATGTGGAGTAACTGCTTGCTGAGATGAAACAGCACGAGTCTCTGGGAAGTGATTAGTTCAAATTCGAGCAGCTAGAGACTGCAACTCTAATTTCCAGCAGCTGGGCAGCACATATAATCGACCAAGATGGAAACGAGAAGTAGAGCTGCGAGGAATAGGTTCTTTCAGTTCCTGACTCCTGCAAAGCTGATTCCACGTTCTTGTTCCTTCCGATCTGACGCCTCAAACGTGTTGAAATTTGGGCTGGGCGAAATGGACTTTTAACATATCTATATCGTCGCCTCATATATCTCCCGATATCGCGATACCGCTCGAGTTCAACTGGAGGGAGGGGATATGAAGACCCTCATTTCACGGTAAAACACTTTATTTTGGCAGTGGATGGTGGAATGATGGTACATTACATCATAGTGTATTGCCGTTAAAAGCAAAGAAGGAAAGCATAACGACGTTTTCTGTCACAAGGCATGCACGATTTTTGCTTGCAATTTCTTTGTAAAGAATGACTGAGTGTTCCCTTTATGGGCGGGACTCGACTTACTGAGGATTTATCAATATTATTGAGGACTTATTGACATTCAAATTGAGAATGCTTGAGTGCAAGATGCAAGAGATTGGTCGTCTGAAGAATTTGGAATTTCTTCCTGCCTGTCAATGAAGACATATAACTACTTTTCCATATTCTGAGTGTATATTGCATCCAGCGCGAGAACGAAATCTGAACATATTCCACACCAGGGACTGCCCATGAGGGCGAGGCACGAGCTTCCAGTCAGACTTACAGGTCCTCTGCATTTGCACTGCACTGCAAAATTTCGCACAGATCCCGCAAAAATCGGGCTTGATCTGATGTCGCTCGGGGCTAGCTGAGGCTTAGTGATTACTTTCACGAAACACTTCCGGCAATTTTCCCAGAGGAAGAAAGTATTAAGATTACCACTCGAGGATTATCTCCTACCTCCCTACCTCATCTCATCAGTTTTTGCCAAGGTTGACAGGCAGTACCTTCATGCTCCATATCTTTATAGTTGTAACACAGAACGGAATGACGCAGTTCTTGTGTTCTATTTCTATTCTCCTGTGACAGCAGATGATTATGTTTTTCAAAAATAAAAATATCGCGTTATACACACATATCGCCGATTAGACATATCGAACGATATCGAGATGTCGCATAGACAGTACAGTTGAAATATTGAGGGAAGGGAGAGGAATTGTGGTCTGATCTTTTACAACAGTCCTATAATGACCGTAGTAGAAGAGGTTAAGTGTCTATCAAGTGAAGGAAAACAGCAGGGCTTCTCATTGTCATAGTAGGAATGTAAGTAGATATAAGGAGTCGATACTTCTGTCACTCTGTCGTTCTCCTTCTCACCCTTCCGTCTCATTCGCACCACCTAACTACCAACAGCTGAAAAGTTTGGCCCTCACGAGTTCAAGGACCTAGCGTTCGTCTATTCATGGCTCTTGAATGCCATAAATTAAGGGCCTTAAACTTGTCGGCCGCAAATGCTCTCAATGAGGCCCGCGACCCACATTTGTACATCAAGAGAAAATCGTTTCAGGCCCAATTACCAGCAATATGGGGCAGTCATAATTTATCCATTCTATGATTTTACACTTTGGCCTGCTGAGAGGTCAGATTTTGGCGATGCGATCCGCACACCGAAACGAGTTTGACCACGACCCTTGCCGTGAATCATAACCCAAGAGTGGAATTAAAGCAACACATTGGATCATGAAATTCTCTTTTATCAAGAATCTCATGAAGGTCAGATTCACTGGGAATAAAAGCACTGTATACAAGCTTATTCAGTGGGGGCCTGCATGAACGCATTCACTGCTCAGGCAACACAAACGAGTAGTGCAGTCAGTCTAGGTGCACTGAAAGGAAAACCCTGATGTTAAACCAACCCAGAAGTGACGTTTACAGCCTACTCTGGAAACCATTATGGAGTTAAAAGCTATCAAGGTGCCGTACATTCTTATATTAGAGTGATTCAACAAGAAACTCTCGGCGATAATTTTCCACTAAACGTGTCGGCTTCTTTCTGGAGTTATTTCCACTGCATCCATGAAAGGGTTACAACGACTTTTGAGAGTCTCTTTGCGTATTGAAACGGATTCCCAGCAAACAATTTGAAACACATGACATTGAATCAACGTTGAATCAATATTGAAAAATTGTTCGGAATGTTGATATGACGTTGGTCCAACGTAGCCTTCTTTGTTGGGTTCTTACCTGTTTTATAAATGAACTAGGGTAAAGTTTGTGGACGGCCGCCTATTTGTGGACGGTTTTGCATTTTTTTGTCATCTCACAAAATTCATGCAGAAAATTTATTTTCTCAGATGCTCCATATTTTGCACATGCCTGTCAGCCTCCATATAAATTATGCACACCCATCAGCATGAGTGAACTTGGACATTTTTGCATAGTTTTAGACCTAGCATCCCTGAATCTATCATCATTAAATTTTCCAATACTTCTTAACTTCATCATTGAAGATGAATGAAACTGCTGTATATATCTCATGCCTATATTTTTCTTTTCGGCTTACGCACGTTCATAATTGTTGACAAAACGCAAACTAGGTCCGTGGATGTCCACGAACTGGAACCAGGCCATCCACAAATAGGAACCACGTGAAAATAAATATATTGTGACGGATGAGGATGGCATCAAGAGGGTCGACTGAATGTCCGGGGTTCGGTGGTGTAGAGGTAGCACACCTGACCGGCAATCAGGAGGCCCGGGTTCAACTCCCGGCCGTTCCTTGGCTTCTTTCGTTCTCTCATGCCTTCCATCGTCCGTCTCCCACTTCCCCTCCGTAACAATATATACATTAAAACAGCTAATGCTGGAAAAGTATGCATTCAATATTTTATTTTAGGGTTTGGCCATCAAACTATGATGAGTGGCCTCCCATTGAAACCAATCAAGCGGTTTTTTGGTTACCCCAGCGACCGTAAGTGTGATATAAGTCCACCCGCAACTTTATTTCATGGAAATATATATACCATACTGAGAATGCTATGAAATAATATAATAAAAATTAAGCAGTTGAACCCGTTTTCATAGGAAGCCGTATTGAACAGAGCCAAAGCCACAACCGCCCAACATTAGAAAACTCACATAATTTTGATACGCGAGTTTAGCACAACGAAACTTATGTCATCAAATGGATCTTGGAATGCTCTTTCATATGACATATGAGACATATTTTTTATATGGATCCCTACATCGTAAAATTGAAGTAAAAAAGTTTGCTAAAATCACAGAAATGAGATATTCGACTTTGTGGGAATTTTCGACATTTGGGAATGAAAAGAACCAAATACTACTTATAACAGAAAACTGGACTATAGGTAGACTCTTAGTATTGCAAATATTGTTGTTATGCTGACTTTCACAAAAGGTAATGGGGTGATGTAATGAAAAGAACAATTTGTACATTTTGAAAAACACATGTTATTCAGGTTTCGTCTAACCCCCGTAGTAACAATAGGACGCAACTGTTTCAGACCTTTCATATGAGCTATTACAAGCGTTTCTAGCTGGTGTCGTTTGAGAGTTATGAAATTCGCCCATGGGAAAAAAACCGATATTTTCAAAATTCAAATCTCCTTTACCGATGGAAAGAAGAGAATATTTATGGTTTTGGAGTTTCATTTAAGACCTGTTAACTCTGAAAACTTTCAATATTTTTCTGAGATGGTCGAGTGTCATCCCTCGGTCAGTTGGCATGGAATGTTTTAATATATACATGTAAGAGATTGAAAATGTCCTCATCGATCCTCGAAGCATCATCATTTTTGGGACAAGGAATAGTCCTTTTGGAAAGTTCTGGCAATTGCTCTGGACCAGACTCTCTCAAAAAAAAAGTCCTCAGCAAGGAATTTTTGATTAAAAACTCCGGAGAAATTTAATTACTCGTACATTTTCCCCCAGGTCTTCAGAATTTTTCAGCTGCTAACTATCTCTCAGTTTAATCAACCATTCTGAGTACTCTGGGTTGAGGGAACGTACATTGGCTTTTAGCTTGAGTTGTGAAAAACTCTGCTACAGATGACTGCTCTTGCTACTCTGAACGATGGCAACTCTGTGTTCATGTGGGACGATAGGTACGCTTTGACGAATATCTCCGCCTAAGAGAAGCACATTGCCACCAAAGAGGCCTATGTTCAGGCCTTTGCCATGGTGGCAGATTTTGTCTGATCTCTTTCCACTTTGGATTGTAGGTCATAGAAATTCTGTCTGGTTTTTCAAAGTTGCGAACAATCGCCATTGCATCCTGGTAATGTTCCATGTTTCGGGGACTACCTTGGAAAGATGATGGCAAAATTACCGCTTCACCTGCCTTTATGCCTTCGTTTTCAGCGCGATTATTTTATGTGGCCCATCAATCCACTGTAGTACTCGACCTGCAATTTGCTTTGATTGCACTTGATGTGTTGGCTTCTGCTTTGACGTATGAGTCAACACTGTATTGCTGAGTCAATCTTCCAGCACTTAGCAAAGGTTTAAATTCATCACGGACCACCAAGCGATAACTGAAGTTCTCTATTTGCGTTATGCCGGAGTTATGGACCCCTCGATGAGGCGTCTTAGTTTTCCAACCGTCATCAGCATGTGGGAAAAGGAGAGGATAAGTCATCGGTCACATCGGGGGATGCAAAATTCATACTTGTTGGGATTTGTTTTCCCTACGGCCATGAACCCTGATGTCTCTCTGAAAAGGGCGTTTTCCATCGACATTTTGGAAAA